TTTTTTTTTTTTTTTTTCAGACGTGGTCCAGCGGAGCCGTTCTGTTCGGGTCGGCGATGACGTGCTGCTGCAGTGCGAGCTCAACTCTAATCTGGCGACTCCATCCTGGACGCTGAACGGCGGCGAGGTGCAGGGCTACGACCTCAACTCCGGCTTCAGGACAGGGACGGACGGCCTGCTGATCATCGAGGCCCGGCAGGACCAGAGCGGCCTCTACACCTGCCACGCGGTTGAGAACGACATTAAGGTCGCCATAGTCACCTACAATGTAACCATCAGCCCGGATCTGCCTGGTCCTCCACCTGGAGAGCCAACGGGGACCTTTATTGCCACGGTACCAAGTACTGAGCACCCCTCATCCGACGGGACGCAGTCACTCCACCTGCTGTCCCCCAAGAACATGGAAGCCATGTATCTGTCCCTCATCACCGTCCTCGGTGGGCTTTGCGTGGTCCTCACCGTTGTGCTCGCTTACGTGGGCTTCTGCCTGCGGGCAGACCAGAGAGGGAAATACTCTCTGCGCGCCGCAGCCGCAGCGCACCCGAGCAGCAAGAGGAGCAGCAGGTGCAGGAAGCAGCACAGGAACTCCGCCCACATGGAGCTGAAGACCGTCTCTAGCCACTGCAATGGCGTCTGCAACGGGGTTTCCAAGCTGCATAACGGAGACACCCAGGACGGAGGCTTTTTGCAGATCGTTCCCGGTGAGGCTCAGACTCTGGCGAGTAACGATCCTCCTCCCCCGGCGCCTCCCCTCCCTCCCACGCCGCAGCACACGTCTCCAGAGTGTGACTTCCCCAACGGGCTGTCAGCCACGCTGCCCAGCGTCCTGAGGCGGATGAACGGGAACAGCTACGTGTTGCTGAGGCAGAGCGACTCAGAAAACACTTCGCCGCTCTCCCACTGCTTCTCCGAGGAGCTCAACAGGATCTTGGAGAAGAGGAAGCACATTCAGCTGCTGCCCAGGCCGGATGAGAGCTCAGTGTAGAGACGCGCGGCTCTCTTGTTGAATTTGGGCTCTTACCCTGTGCCTGTCGCGTTGACCCCCCTCATTGCTATAGCCTAGAGCAATGAAAGAGTCTCATTTCCATAATTTACTTTGGATTATATTTGACAGCTCTGTCTTTTGAGCTAATGAGCCGTTTTTGTCTTCTGAAATGACCAAACCTTCTCAGCACACTAGAAATGAAAATGAAACTTCCCAGTGAAGGTCAGAGCACAAAGAAGGAAATAAAATGCAATCTACCTCACCTCTACACTGCCTGAAGAGACATGTTGTCAAGACCACAGTCGGCTCTGAGAATCGGTGCCGGAATATTACGGAGCCGTGATGAATAAAGCAGGACACACACACACTGACTAACCAGCAGTGGAGACACAACGGAATATAAATATAATCGAAGAGGGAAGTTTGACCACAGGGCAGCTAGCAAAGCTTGTTTTAACATGAGCTACTGCACAGATGGGCTATGCATTTTTAAAACATGACACTCACTAATTATAAATATGGATGTAAATGGAAATGACAGAATTTCGCTATCAGGCCGCCGTTACTGGTGGCCCTTATTGTCTGTCATCTGCTTCTTGAGGAAGTCTTTTTACGCCGTTGTCAGACCTCACCTTTAACCTCGTGACATTTGCCCTCCTGCGCTGTAGCCTTCACGACTCCAGCTTGTAGCTGATTGCACGGATAGCACAAGAAGGGGAATTTTCCCATCGGCTAAATGTTGTGTCTGTCTGTTGTGGCCAGAGACCGGCCGGAGAGACGGCTGAAAAACACAGAGGACAGCGGCAGCATGGGAAACGAGCACAAAGAGAAGCACCAGATGAATTCAAACCGTTTTTAATATAACATTCAGTAAGAAGCTATTAGTAAGGAATGGTTGAACTATTCAAGATTTATTATTAATATTGAAAATTAACCAGTTTTTATTCAGCGTCTGTGTTTTGATAACGTTGATGATATTGTTGTTTTTTTTTTATTTATTTATCTATCAGTGAAAGATCAAATCTATATAATAACCTTAAACTTCCCAGTGTCAATGTATTCTAATAAAAAGATTTAAAACAAAAATGTACAACAAGCCAAATGTAAATTTAAAACAGTGTTGGCATAAAAAAAAAAAAAAAAAGAGCTGCCTGGTTTATACCAGCTGTTTCTGTCCTCCACAGCGACTCGTGTCAGAAGTGCAAGCGATCTGCAGGGGGTGTGTATTGTTGTTTTAGCCACTCGCACAGATCTCCAGTGTTTTTTTGTTTTTTTTGCAACAGTTTGCACACACGTGAGTGGCGTTCGCCAAACGGGAAGAGCAGGAAAGCAGTCTGAATGCTTGTTGGTTTTAACACATTCATAGCCGAACATAACAAAGGTTCACTCAAGGTTCAATTGTCCGCTATTCCAACTGACACAAACAGAAGTATTTGCAAGCAAATGAAGAATTTTCCTTTCCTTTTTAAGAATGAGGAGATGTAGAAACCTTCTTTCAGACAGCTGGACAGCAGTGCACAGCAGCGGATTGAGGGGAAGACATCGATACATGACTCTCTGTTACATAAAGCTGGAAGAAAACACTCATGCACTTGCTCTAGCATGGCATGAGAGAAAGATTTAGCAGTTCTCTACTTGTTTAAAAACCTTGAAGAACCTTGATACTGGTAACCAGCCTTGGTCTAATTTCTTGCATCCTTCATGCATGTAAAGAAATTACTACAAAATGTTGTTGCGGTAGTAAAATTGTCCGTACCGCTGGCAGATTTAGGTTTAAATAATGTTTTTATTTTACCTACATGTTTCGTCTGACTGGATGTAATATTAACATGTTAGGGTGACCCAAAAAGCTACTCAGTAACTATAAGAGCATTTGATATTGTCAATAAAAATGACTATAGAGAAGGATGTAAATAATCTTGAACATGCCATTTTTACTAAAATAGAAATAAACATTTTTTCTTTTTTTTTTCAAAACTGATTCCTTCTTTATTCTTTAGAGATCCCTCTCATTTGCTACGAAAAACACATTTCTTGGTTGAATGAAAATTATTATTAAACTAAATCTGCCAGGGTTTTGAAACCCATTGGGCTTAAATATATTTGCTAACACAGTCAGGCATTGCAGTTATTGTAACACGTGAAGTCCTTGACGTATGATAAAAGGTTTATTTTTGAACCTACACTCATGTTTTTGCCCGTTTTTTTATTATTTTTTTTAAATGTTTCGCTATTATAAACTCTACTAAAGAGAAACAATGTAACGTTCTATTGCATCGAGGAAAGCTCAGTTGGCATGGAGTTGAGTTTTGATGGAAAACTTGACAGTATTATTCTATTATTCTTGTGCATTTGGACACTGGTGTAGCGAGCCTGAACGCACCGCCGAGGCACGCCTAGCGTGAGATCGCGGCGCAGAGACCGACAGACTGCAGAGCGCCGAAGCAGCCAAGGTTCATAGTTCTGTTGTCTCACCAGCTCATCTCCCACTCAGGGCGCTCTGCCAGACAAGCACTTGGAAATATGGGCTGAGGAATTAAGAGCCGATGATCACAGCAAACAAATGTTTCTTGAACTGCGGCCCGCTCGCGTAAAGGCTCTGAGATCCTCTCGTGTATAAACAGCTGCTTCAAACGAACATCTTGTCAATAAGGACAAAATTACAGCCCGACACTCTTAAGTAGTGAAAGATAATGAGCACTGGCGTTTCATTTGTAGAAGCGGATTAAATCTAGTTTAAGTTACGACTCAAGACAATCCACCTCGGCTCTGCTGATCAATGGAAAGATTAATAGGTTGTGCGTCGTGACACAGATATGGTCGTTATCCCATTCAGTCTCCCCGGTTTTGTTTTCCTTCTCACTCAGCTTGTGCTGCGTCTTCTTCTGTCGGAGCGCAGCAATAATTAGGCATCCGTCTGGTGACGAGCGGAGCTCACCAGAGAGCGAGAGCTCTCTCCCAAGATATTTACGCTTTGCTCCGCTCTTAAGTTTCCAATTACTTTCTCATCCCCTCGAGCTTACAGTCTGGAGTTTTTATTATTCTAAAATGGAAATGTACAAACAAGTACACATGAATACCCCCCGCCCCCCCCCCCCCCCCCCCCCCCACACAACAAAACCACCACCCCCTCAACACCGCAACACACACACAC